CACACTGAAGTCGCATATGAGGGCTCATCGAACTCACATAGAGTGCCCTAGAATCAAGTTGCACAGACGGGTCCATAGATTCACCCAAGTTGCTCAGACAGACGTGTAGATTCACGCAGAGGTCTGTAGTCTCAAGTACACACAGATGTATAGATTCACACATAGGTCTGTAGACTCAAGTTGCTCAGACAGACGTATAGATTCACACAGAGGTCTGTAAACTCAAGTTGCACAGACAGACGTAGAGATTCACACAGAGGTCTGTAAAGTGAAGTGGGTCAGACAAACGTGTAGATTCACACAGAGGTCTGTAGACTCAACTTACACAGACAGATGTATAGATTCACACAGAGGTCTGCAAACTCAAGTTGCTCAAACAGACGTATAGATTCACACAGGTCTGTAAACTCAATTGCACAGAAAGACACACAGCTTTACAAAGGGGCCCATAGACTCAGTCACTGACAAGGTTGGACAAAGGCTGAAACACCATTTTGGGGATGAAAATCTGAACTCGACTGTGATGTTCCCCAAGGAAGCAGGAACACGTGTAATGGCGGATCGTTTATATACACATTTGTACCCGAGACTGAGACACTCAGAAACCCACAGACGCACACAGAAACCCACAGATAAACACAGATACCTTCAGACAATTACAAAGACGTAGATACACTCAAAGAGACCCACACGTATGCACAAAGATGCACATACATGCATAGTAACTCATAGGCTTGCACAGAGACCCACAGGCAGATGAGACACACGCAGATACTCACAAACAGATAAAGAGACCCACAGAAACGCAACGAGACCCACAGATACTCACAGAGAACCATAGACACTCAGAAACGCATAGATACTCACACAGACCAACAAACGAGCACAGAAGCCAAAAAACACTCACAGACACCTACATACACACACAGAAACCCGAGGATGCCCATAGAGACACAGACACATAAAGAGGCCCAAACATTTTCAGACACCCACAGATACTCACGCAGTTCCAGACACATTGACAGAGACAAATAGACACGCATAGAGACCCGCAGATGAGCCCGAAAACTCACAGACACACGCAGAGACCAACAAACACTCATAAAGTGTGCACAGAGACACAGACACGCATAGAGACCCACAGACATGCAGGGAGAACCACACATGAACACAGAAACCCACAGACACACGACGAGACCCGCAGACACTCAGGGAAACCCAAAGACCCACACAAAGCCCAACAAAGACAAAGATCCCCCATATAGCCTTAATATACTGTAGGGGAAAGTGCTGTTAGCGAGCAACTATGAAGGCCGGAACAGTACACGACGGGGTGGGTGGCCAGCACCACGCCCGACCGCCTTTGTCTTCCCAGTGGCACAGAGCCCCACGTATGCACGCGGAGACCCATGGACGCACAACAGGGACTCGCGGGCACCCAAAGAGACTCACAGATGCCCATGGAGGCGTAGAAACACGCAGAGAACCACCGACACTCCTTAGGCACTCGCGGATACTCGCAGACACTTACAGAGACTCGCACAAGGAGCGGCTTTGCTACTCACCACTGCTCCTGCGAAGAAGGACGAGGATCAATGTCCAGGATACGGCGAAGCCCACGGTCACCGCGACCCTCGCGGCCGTCGCCCCCGTAACCTCCATGGGGCTGCCCTTAGTTGGGGGCAGCTCACACGGGCAGCTGTTGCAGTGGTTCTCAACAGCTCCTCCTCCTACTCCTCCTTCTCCTCCAGCGCTGAAGCAGACCGACAGCGCTAGCCAAACGAGGTCGAGTAGCATCTCGAATTTGCGGTATAGCTTGGCGTCGTCTGACTCGCTGCTGTTGCACTGCTGTAGTCAAAGCAGGATACCACCACAGTCAGCATGGACTGCTGTAATCATAGCAGGTACCACCACAGGCAGTATGCACTTCTGTAATCATAGCAGGTACCACCACAGTTAGTATGCACTGCTGTATTCATAGGTACCACCACTGTCACCGCGCTTGTTGTGAGCCGTGTGAGATTTGCCGTGACGAAAGGGACTTCTGCGTTCGTGTGTGATGGTGTGGTGATGTGCACTCTGTGTGTGTGATGGTGTGGTGATGTACACTCTGTGTGTGTGATAGTGTGGGGGTGTGCACTCTGTATGTGTGATAGTGTGGTGGTGTGCACTGTGTGTGTGATGGTGTGATGGTGTGGTGATGTGTGCTCGTGTGTGTTCCTTGCGCAGCCTGAGTGAGGCCTAGCTAGATCGAGCGCCTGACGCAGCCTGAGGCCTAGCTAATAGTGCGCCTGGCGCAGCCTGATTGAGGCCTGGTTAGTCGTGCGCCTGGCGCAGCCTGAGTGAGGCCTGGTTAGTCGTGCGCCTGGCGCAGCCTGAGTGAGGCTTAGTTAATCGTGCACCTGGCGCATCCTGAATGAGGCCTAGTTAATCATGCACCTGGCGCAGCCTCAGTGAGGCCTAGATAATAGTGCACCTGGCGCAGCCTGAATGAGGCCTAGTTAATCGTGCACCTGGAACAGCGTGAGTGAGGCCTAGTTAATCGTGTACATGACACAGCCTGAATGAGGCCTAGTTAATCGTGTACCTTGCTACAGCCGTGAGTAGAGGCCTAGCTTAATCGTGCTACCTGACACAGCCTGAATGAGGCCTAGTAAATTGTCACGTGACACTGCGTGAGTGAGGCCTAGCTAATCGTGTACCTGGCGCAGCCTGAATGAGGCCTAGTAAATTGTCACGTGACACTGCGTGAGTGAGGCCTAGCTAATCGTGTGCCTGGCGCAGCATGAGTGAGGCCTAGTAAATCTTGCACAAGGCACAGCCCGAGTGAGGCTTCCAGTTACTGTAGCGGCCTAGTGCGTGCTCCGTCCACTGCTGCCCTGAGGGAAAGCCGTGCTCCGTCCACTGCTGCCCTGAGGGAGAGCCGTGCTCCGTCCACTGCTGCCCTGAGGGAGAGCCGTGCTCCGTCCACTGCTGCCCTGAGGGAGAGCCGTGCTCCGTCCACTGCTGCCCTGAGGGAGAGCCGTGCTCCGTCCACTGCTGCCCTGGGGCAGAGCCGTGCTCTGTCCACTGCTGCCCTGAGGGAAAGCCGCGCTCTCTCAACTGCTGCCCTGAGGGAGAGCCGTGCTCCGTCCACTGCTGCCCTGAGGGAGAGCCGTGCTCCGTCCACTGCTGCCCTGAGGCAGAGCCGTGCTCTGTCCACTGCTGCCCTGGGGTGGGGTCGTGCTCTCTCCACTGTTGCCCTGAGGCAGGGCCGTGCCCCGTCCACTGCTGCCCGGAGGGAGCCCCGTGCTCTCCACTACTGGCTTGAGGGAGAGACGCGCTATCTCCACCGCTGCCGTGAGGGAGCCAGACTCTCTCTCCACTGCTGCCCTGAGGCAGGGTTGTGCTCTCTCCACTGCTGCCCTGGGGCAGAGCCGTGCTTCTGTCCACTGCTGCCCTGAGAGAGAGTCGCGCTCTCTCCACTACTGCTGCCCCGAGATGTCGCGGGCGCTGCCCCAGAGCAGGGAGGTGCGGCTGCAGTCGTTCAACAAGCGGCTCAAGGACGACGTGCGCTCCATCCTGGACAACTTCACGGAGATCATTCGAGACGGCCAAGGGTTGTGAATGAAGAGTCCCCTGTGTGGGCTTCAGTGGGGCCGTCTGGACGGGCAGCAGAGACACGAGAGGCCAAGAAACGACATTCCAGTCGTGGGCTGAGCTCAAGGAGGGCTAGCTCGAGCACCATCCTGCGGCGGGGAAAGGAGGCGGTGCAAGCGGTTCAGCCGAGCCCACAACAGCCAAGAATCTGCTGTCTGGGAGAGGGGGGTGGGCGCTGTTCAACCCTAACACATGGGCGAGAAGCCGTGCATGTGTGACGAGTGCGGCAAGAAGTTTTTCTCATGCTCGGCCTACAAGTATATATATTTTTCTATTCCACTTGTGTGTAAATCTGTGTATACCCCGGATATTTTAGAGATGGCAATTCTCCTGCTGTGTATCCTACTGCTGTCCCTCCCGGCCATATCTAGTGCCACACTCAACTCTACAAACGGCTACCCTCGTTATTTTGCATCAATACTTGTTGCTCGATTTGCCACTACACCTGCAAATGAAACAGCTCATAGACACTTCTACACTCCATCATTGTATCCTTTTAAACCCTATCTTTGTCCTATTACTTCACCAGCACTTCTTCCAAACTTCATTCTGCTCTTAAAAATAACACCATCTGCGAGCTGCTGCTATTCGTCCAAGGTTCGCCGCTCTTCATCCTTTCACAGAAAATACTTATGCAAACTGTTAATTCTACTTTTCTTATTTCTGGGTGCTATTGAGCTTCATCCTGGCCCAAATGAAAAGAGCTCGTATAATTCTGTAGATTTTTCTGGCAGGAAAGGTGTTGGTGTTCTACATGTCAACATCAGAGGGCTTGTGATTAAATGAAGT